TTTTTCTTACGGATTTTATGTAGAATATTTTAAAATATTTCATTTACACCTTCTAACATTTAGGCTTTCTTTTCGTTGCCATTTAAATAAAGATAAATTTTATTTTTACCCCGAATTATAGTTACTCTGTTATTTTACTCCTTAAACTTAAAATGGTCTTTACATCTTCGAACTTTAAAATGTTAATAAGAATAACCCTTCCGTCTTCTTTTCGTTGCCATTTAAATAAAAATAAATTTTATTTTTACCTTAATATAATAATCACTGTATCATTTTACTCCTTAAACTTAAAATGGTCTGTACATCCCTCAAACTTTAAAATGTTAATAAGGATACCCGTCATATTTATAGTTAAAAGTTGACGTGGCACTAAATTAGAGACTATAAACTTAATTAAGTTTATAATTTTTATTATTAGAGAAATTTTAATTAAAAAAGAAATTTCCTTTAACTAAAAAAAAGTATGAGTCTGTTTAGTTCTCTGATTTGAGTTGAGATATAATTTTATATAAGTGCTTTTTATTATAATAAAAAAATTAAATGTAATTATTTTTTAGAACTTTTTACAGTAGTAAAACTTGAATTCTAAACTCAAATCAACGTGAACGGGCCTACATTTTTTACCCTTCCCCTTCCCATTCCCATTCCCATTCCGTCGTCACCACAATTTCCATTCCACCGTCGCCAACTTGCTCCCTCCCCCACCACCGGCGACCCACCCCCCACCCGCACGACCGCCTAACCCTGCGAGGGATGGGATGACATCACACCAAGCGGAACAATGGGTTGTGAATCGCGCTAGAACTGGGTGCGTGGGGAGCTATGCTCGCCGGATCTCGGAACTGCAGAGCATGGCTCGCCCGGATCTGTTCGTGGTGTAGTTGGGCTCGTTGGATTCAGGCATGGCGGAGTTGGCTCGCCGGATCTTGGCAAAACGGAGTTGGGCTCACTAGATTCGGGCCTGGCGTAGTTTGGCTCGCCAGATCTGGGTGTGGTAGAGTTGGGCAAGCGTTGCTTTGCAAATATTGTTTGCCATAGTCACTTCCATTATGTATTTCTCCCCTTATGGGGTTGGATTTGCTTTCGGCTCATTGAGCCTCTTAATGAGTCTATTTCCAATATATGTATATATTTTTCATCTGGATTGGGTTTGGGTTTGCAATCCAAAAGATATTTCGGATATGTGTTTGCATTAGGAGAGAAGATAATAAAGAGAGAGCGAGAGAGAATTTTGATTTGAGTTTGTTTTCGATTGTAAGTATGTTGATTTGGGTTTGATTTCTTGTTTTGATATGGGTTTGATTGTAATTATGTTGATTTGGGTTTGATTTCATGTTTTGATTTGGTTTTGTCTTTATTTTTCCTATTAGAGCTTTTTTTTTTTTTTTTTTGGATCTGATTCATTAGAGATTGATTTGTAATTGCAGTTGCAGGGGAGGAAATTGTTCTTATTTTTTGAATATAAGTTTGAATCTGAGTACAGGATTTGTGCCTATTGATATATGATGTTTAGGTTGAATCTGAGTATTTATTTGTCGTGTTGATATCTCATTGAATATTTTCAATCTAGTATAGATTATTTCTCGTTTTTTAAAAGGAAATTTCTGTTTTAATTAAAATTTCTATAATATTTGAAATTATAAAGTTAATTAAGGTCTATTTTTTAATTTAAATTGAGATATAATTTTATGTGAAAATTTTTAACTATAATAAAAAAAATTAAATATAATTTTTTGAGAATTTTTAATTATAATAAAATTAAAATTAAAAATTTAAATTAATAAAATAAATGAAATTCAAATTTATAGTTTTTAATTTAGTGTCACATCAACATTTAAGGAAAGGGATATTCTTCCTAACATTTTAAAATTTAAAAAGTGTGTAAATTATTTTTTAAAATTTAAAATATAAAATGAGAGTATAACTATAATTCAGGCGGTAAAGTAACAGATTATAATTCAGGTAAAAATAAAATTTATCCTTAAATTTATGTTGACTTGTCGTCCAATTAATGGATTTGCGATATACCATTTCAACAGTAACTATTCTCTATTTCTACGTCCTGTTCAACCAGTTTTAAGTGGATGTTGATTCTTGAGTGAGGCAATATATAAGGAATATTAGAGGTTTTTTCTTTTTTTTTTTTTTGAAAAAGGAATATTAGAGGTTAAGAGTGAGGAAACTTGTATTATTTTTCGTAAAAAACAAGGCTAAACCTCGAACATTTCTATTAGATAATGTTGACCGTATCAAAAATTTTCAATTGGTTAATATTTCTTGGCCTACCCATTTTTAATTTTATTTTTTTTAGTTTTGGACAAAATAATTTGTATCATTACGTGTGATTATGTTAATTTAAACATGCTCCCAACCATTCAATCACGTGGGACCCACGTGGATCCCTGATTATATAAATGCGAGACAGTCCTAACACAAAATCAGAGTCTAATAAAGTATATAGCCCTTAACTTGTAACTTGTAAGCCTGATAACAGAATAACCTAACAAAAAAAAAATTGTTTAGAAGCACCGTTAGTGTTAAACACTGATAATAATGATAAGTGAGTCTAACTTACAAATCATATATTATAAGACTCACTTTTTATTAGTAGATAGTATTATATATTATTATTATCGTATAGCATTGTTCAAAATAAAATAGTGTAACTTAAATCCTAAATATGAATAAATTTGGATTTGTATTTTGCAAAGTTTGGTTAGCAATCCGCAAAAGTCGAGTATAAATTAATAATTTTCCTAAATTTCTCTCGCACGCGAGTCTGTACACAATAAGAGCATAAATATCGGCAGTTTTTTAAGATTGTTTTCTCAAAAAACAATAAAGACGCGTGGCCAATTTATTATTGCTTATATTTCACACATACACGGGTCCCAAATTTTTTCTTTTCCAATCTTATCCTTACTTTATTTACTAAGAAGTAGGGTTAAATTAAAGTCTTGATCTGTAACCCAAAAGAGGTCGTTTAGGAAAATTGTGAATTTGTCAACGTTCATACCTATAATTTGAAAACTGCGTAACATTGCACATGTATGTCAACTGTCAAATACCAATATTATTATTATTATTATTATTTTCATTCATCCGTTGTAAATTTCCAAGGTAACTATGTCTAGGGAATAAAATTAGCCAGAACAATATGTGAAAAATTTTGTTGGATTTGATCATTCCAACTTCTTTAACAACTATAGGACAAAATAAGTTAATTGCCATCTATTTCTTTTTAAGCCATAATTCTATCGAGAAACTTTTTTTTTTTTTTTTTGGGGTAAAACAAGGTTCATCTTTTATAAAGAAACCTTGTGTAGTAATATATCCAAAATAAGCTATCATGGTTTCTTATTATATATGTATTCTTTTTTTATTACATCAACTTAAGACTTAAATACATTCAAGCTCGAAAAAAAAAGACTACATTGAAAGCAACTCATATACCCCTCTTGTTATACATACATACATGTATATATATATTTAAATTGCGTCTCTTTGTGTATATTTAAATTGCGTCTCTTTGTGCTTGAACTTAAGACTCAATGTATTAAAAAAAATTATATTTTTATTATTTTTATTTTAATGTGATTTTGATAAAATTTAACCTTATAAGTATGCAGTACCAATAACAATACTCAAACCGGCTCCACCAATTCAATAAAAATAGAGTAAAGGCCAGTTTGGTAAAGTTTTCAAAATAATTTTGTTTTCAATATAAAAGTAAAAATGAGATTGTTTTGAGAATCATTCTGACACTGATTCTGAAATTGCGTTTGATTGGTTTTTTAAGAGATTATTTTGAGTATAATAAAAATGTGAAATTAGTTTGGTTATAATTATTAATTAATATATTATAACAGTGTTGATAAGTACTAGAAAATAACAATAGAAAAGGTAAAACAACTTTCAATCGTTTTCTAATTCCTTCACAAAAATCATTTTCATTGTTTTTTGTTTTCATTTTCGTTTTCAAAATATTTACTAAACAAATATGGTTAACAGACCGTTTTTATTTGCTTGTCTCAAAATATATGCAAAAACGTTTTAAAAAATAAGTAAAAGTCAACTCAAAATACACCCGAAATGTCTTTCGTTCTTAAAGGGGTTATGGCACTGTTAATTGCTCAAGTTAACTGATTAGGAGATTAAAATACTCTTTAGTAGGGGGACAAACTCTTCCTAATGGTTTTCATCTTTCATTATTATCTCTTGTTTCTGTTTTGGTTTTGTCTTTTGTTTTGGAAGTGATTTCACTATCAAAGGTTAGGCCCTTTGCAATCTTAACAAAAAAGCAAATCTTTGATTCGTATGACAACCATTATCTTACATGCTTTTGTCTTAAGCACAAATAACAATCCCAAAAATATTCCTCCACCCAAGTCTTTCAAATAGGTCCGTATGACAATTCACTTACTATCTACCACTTTATTTTATTTTATTTTTTTAAATCCAAATCATTGGACATAATGAGAGTAATTTTCATGCGCCATAGTCCTTTTTCCTTTTTCTCATCATTTTGTCAAACTGGAGCGTCTTGGTGTACATTTATGATTTATCACATTAAATAATAAAATAATTGGCTTTTGACTGTTAAGATGTTGCGTCACTTAGCAACGTGTGTTAATATGCACATGCTTTATTTGTACAAGTTCAATGTAAACATTTTGCAATTAGCAAGAATGAGTCCAACCTTATCGATAATAACAAGTTGGAAAGCGAGGTTGATGTGACAGAAATCCATCTTAATCAGTTAATATTGACCATTATAGTCTATAGCCAGCATTGATCTCTAGTTAATTGAAAAATACCAAAGAGTTTGAATGCTTCCAAGTAGGGAAATGAGGTACATTTTTTTAGCACTAAAAGTAACGAAATTTTACATCCAAATGCTAGTTGATGACCCGGTTTTGAAAGTTCAAAAATTTAATATTTATGCTAGAACTTGCTTTGTTATAAGAAACTACGGATACACACACACACACACACGTATCTCTATATTTGAATTTGTTTTTATTACAATGTTAGGGCCCGTTTGAACTAGTTTACCGGCAGGATCCGCGAGTCCTGATAAGCTGGTAAGAGAGAAAGAAACTTCCAAGTTGTAGAAAAATTGAAGATGCTACTTGGAACAATACCAATTTTTAATTCTAAAAAGGATAGATACAATTGTTAGTGCTCCAAGAAACCGGGAAAGAATGAAAACAACATAAAGCAGGAAAATGCTTAAACATCCTCAAATGTGTCACTAGTTGATACTTTTGACTAGCCAACAGTGAATGTTCAAGCTTAAGCTGCTTCAGTTGTATCGGCGGCGGCGGCGGCGGCTCTTTTCTTGGCGAAGTATTCTTCTGCACGAGCGAGGTTCTTAGCAACGGATGGCTTTACCCACTTCTTCCGTCCAGGTAGTACTGTAAGGGAACAGCCAGCAGACTCAAGCTTCTCCTTTGCGGATGTTGAGAAGGCACGAGCCTTGATGTTCAGCTTCACGCTTAGCTCCCCATCACCGAGTATCTTGAGCCAGTAAAACAAGAAGCATATCTCAGCCAAACAGGTGGTTTATAGATTGACTCATGCTCAAGATTTTCCCAAGTTGGATTCAACAAGACATATAGTTCAAATTTTCAGTTAATAACAGAAAGTGAATGGAGTTTTAATACAGTAGAAACTTAATTTCATCGTACTCATAGTAAGAAGATTCTTATGCTCTAGAATTATTGTATGGTTCAATCCAATAATTTTCGTTATTAATTGCTTAATAAAGTAAAAGTCCGTACTACTTCCATCGGCTAACTTAGAAAGGAATTTTAAGGTATTGACCTAGAAAATTAAACCCAGATTCAAAAGGACTGACCTTATCCACTAGATCAACGAGACAGATTTAGTTATCACTTACCTTCAATGGGAGTCTCCTTTCTCTTCCTGATGGGTTGATTAACCCTTTGTTCTTTAAAGTTTCAAGTGATACCTCATCACCTTCTTGAAATCCAGCAGCTTCTATGTCTTTCAAGTTCACAGGGACATATTTAGGTAACCCCGCATGCATGCCTTGTAAGAAAGAGAAGGGAAACACAAGCTTCAGTTTAAGTGATTAGAAGCCTGCATAAAATTGCACTAGACCTAACATCCATTCGCTCACACAAGATTCAGACCATTGTCACATGAAAATAAAAAGGACAAGAATCCGACGTTTGATCTCAAGGGAAAGCAACAGACTTGGCTTCTTTCGTTTTCTTTTTCTTCTTCTTTCCCGTGTTCACCACAACTGTAGAATGAAAAATTTTCAACAATCTTCCTTATGGCCTTGAGTTCTCCTAAGGCTGTTTGATCACCTCACTGAACCACACAACTAGATGACTTGGACCAGCATCTACAACTAGAAACGTAAAAGAATGGTAATAATGGTCTATGGATTGTGATGCCTGACAAAATTGTGTCTGCCCTCAAACTGGTATCTGTCTTAAGAATCCTAAACTATATAATCTCTCTCAGAAGTGAGGTAACACAAAATGAGTCGACAACTTGACCTCGTGTAAAGTCAAATAGTGCACAAAGACACATGCTTAAAGGAAATAGCTGTGGATAATTTCTTTCTTTTTCCTACCATAAAAGTATCCATTTCAATGCCATATACTAACTTTCTTTCAATGACAACTACTTTCAGGGAGTATGCCTAATTTGAATTATGTAAGGCCTCGTTATTTTCACGGGTTTAGTTGAAATTCAAATTTTTGTAAGAAAAAACACTTAACAAAAAGGTTGAATTGCGATTCAAAGTATGAAAAGAAACCTTTTGAATTTCACAACAAATGATCTCTCAATTTCCAAATTTGTTATTTTCTCGCCTCATTGATGTTCCGAACTCAACAGTTAATAGTTAATCATTACACCTTGGTGCAACCTAGGGCACGTCTCGGAAGGAGCTAATCAAGAAAAGTCACATAAGACGTAATACAAATTGTTGACGGTTGATTTTCGTCAACGAGATTTTACCGGATTACCGCTCCGTGGTCCGTCGGGATACCGGTTGAAACCGTTAATTTAACTGAATATTCTAAAATCTGTGTTTATGCTTTGGACGTATTTGTGAAGAGCATTTGGTTCTATGTTTTAACGGAAGTAAAAAACGCACAGAAGTTTTAAAGTGGTTCACCCTTATGAAAGAAGAGTTACATCCACTATATTGTATTTCTTTTCTATTCTACACCGGTTACATAAAAAATCCTCTCTCTCTGGGGCTTTGCCTCTTTTATAGCTTACAGATTACCCATTAACATCCCCCTTGGACGAGCTGTCTTTGGGGCCTTTTGATGGTTCCTCTTGAGTGGCCCATCCTCTCAAGTGGTCTACCATCCCACTTACCTAGACTGTAGCCTGTCAGTCCCTTTTGGACTGTTCACTCATGCAATTTGTCCCCATATTACGGCTCTGCAGATCCTCTATAACTCCCATTGGTCCGTTCCAAGCGGTTTAGGGGTTTGTAATCATTCCATTCCAAACCCAGACGCAACTTTGGGATCTCCATCTTGCCACCTCAGAGGTCTTTCTTGGAATTCGGGCCCAGTTGCTTGCGTCCTGCCCTCTGCGCCTGCGCTATACTTTGCCAAGTGTGGCCTTTCTCTCTGTCGACCCTATCGTGGTACTTCGACGAACAAGTTACGCAGGCCTCGACTGTTTATAGGGTCGATGGTCTAACCCCCCTTATGCACTCGGCTCTTATACAATATGGGGGGGGGGAATTAATTTCAGGCGTCGATGGCTATGTGACGTGGCGAGCATGGGGCCATGTGGAGCATAGCCGTTGTCCGACGTGTCATTGTATATTTTCCCACACAACAACTGTCCTCCAAGTCGAGGTTTCTCTTTGAATTGCCTCGAGCTAGGTCTGGGATTCGTTCTGGCAGTTTGCTTGTCTGCTTCGAGCGTGGGAGCCTAACTCCGAGCCTCCCTCGCAATGATGGCTCTGGTGCTTCGAAAATCCCTCGAGAAGTGCAAATGTCGCGTCGGTTCAATTACCATATTGACGTGAGCCTTCATTTAAATGGATGGATCTGAGCCGTTGGATCGCGTCTTTTTAGCTTCCCGCATTTGTTACTACCGTTCGATTTTGACCGGTTGCCCTCGCCATTGGATTCACTGGGATTCTATCCAACGGCCAGGGGTCGAGGGCTCGTTTTCCTTTAAAAGTCTGCTTCAAACCAAGACCATCTCTGTCCAAACTTCTGATAACTGCTGTTACTCTGCCCAAATTTTTCTAGAATCCTCCATACCCCACCTTTCTCGTTCCCTTCGGTGTTTCGCAAAGTTCTTTCGAGTTAAGCTTCCAGATTTCGCCATTTCTCAAGTTCATGGTAAGTCCCTCTATCCCCTGCTTTTTCTTACTTGGTAACTGTTGGATCATGTGCTTTAGGCTTGAAGTAGACATTCAGAAGGTTAAAAAGACTTGCTTTGTGTACATTTGAACCCTTATAGGCTAGTTCTTCGATGGGGACGACTCCTAGCATATCCGAATCCTTTGAGGATGCCAGTTTGGCCAAGGCATCGGCGTTTGTGTTCTCGGCTCTTGGTACTTGCAATATATCATAGCGTTTGAACTTGGTAAGTTCTTCCTTTGCCTTTCTCAAGTATGTCCTCATCCTTTCACCGCGTGCTTGATACTCCTCCTTCACTTGCCCGACCACTAACTGAGAGTCACTAAAAATGCCAAGTCTTTTAATCTTCAAGTGGCTTGCTAACCGCAATCCTGCAATCAGCGTCTCGTATTCTGCTTCATTGTTTGATGCTTTGAATTTGAATCGTACCGCCGAAGTGATTTTGTGGCCTTCTGGGCTTATTAGCATGATGCATGCTCCCGACACAGTTTCATTCGATGCCCCATCTACGTAGAGTTTCCAATATTTCTTTAATCCCTTCATCCCCTGCTATTGCTGGCCTGTGGGAAACTTCTGCCACGAAATCTGCCAACGCCTGTCATTTGATTGCTGTCCTTGGCACGTATTTAATGTCGAATTGGCCTAATTTTATCGACCATTTCAAGAGTCGACCGGAGGTTTCAGGCTTCTGAAGTGTTTGCCTTATCGGGTGGTTTGTCAGAACCCGTATTGTGTGAGCCTGAAAATAGTGCCGAAGTTTTCTCGAGACTATCATTAAGGCGAGAGCTAGCTGCTCCATCTTGGTGTATTTTGACTCGGCGTCCAGGAGCCTCTTACTTACGTAGTAAACCGATAGTTGGATCATTTCTTCTCTAATTAACATAGAACTTACGGCATGTTTTGGCACGGAGAGATATAGGCTTAGTCCCTCGCCCGGTATGGGTTGTGACAAGATAAGAGGCCTGCCCAAGTGCTCCTTCAGCATTTGAAAAATCTCCTCGCATTGCGGCATCCACTCGAAATGCTTACTCCATTTTAAAGTGTCGAAGAAAGGAACACACTTGTCCGTTGCCTTTGATATGGGCAGCGATATATCCCGTTAATCTTTGGACCTCTTTTGATTTTGTGGGAGACTTCATGTCCTGCAAGGCTTTTATCTTTTCAGGATTAGCCTCTATTTCTCTGTTACTAACCATGAATCCAAGAAACTTTCCTAATCCAACCCCAAAGGCGCATTTTAGGGGATTTAGCTTCATGTGATATTTTCTTAGTACACCAAACATTTCTCTTATATGTGTGACGTGCTGTCTTGCCTTCGTGCTCTTTACTAGCATGTCATCAACATACACCTCCATGGTCTTTCCGATTTGTTTGGCAAATATCTTGTTTACCAGTCTCTGGTACGTCGCTCCTACATTCTTCAAACCAAAGGGTATCACCTTATAACAATAGAGGCCCCTATCTGTTATGAATGATGTGTGCTCTTCATCGGATGGATGCATGATAATTTGATTATATACAAAGTAGGCATCCATGAAACTCAACAGTTCGTGTCCGGCAGTGGCGTCGACCATCTAATCTAGTCAGGGGAGCAGAAAACCGTCTTTTGGGCATGCCTTGTTGAGGTCGCTAAAGTTGACACATGTTCTCCACTTCCCGTTAGGCTGGATTACCAGGACAGAGTTTGAAACCCATCTAGGATAGTGAGCCTCTCTGATGAAGCCGTTGCCAATGAGTTTGTCGACTTCTTCCTTTAATGCCTCGTACATCTCTGGATTCATCGGTCGACGTATTTGGCGTTTAGGGGGATAAGAGGGGTCGATTTTCAGAGCGTGACACATGACTTAGGAGTCGATACCTTCCATGTCTGCGTGTGTCCAGGCGAACACATCCAGATTTTTCTTCAGGCAATCTTCGACCTCGATTCTTAGCGCCGGAGGTAAATCCGAGCCTATCTTCAGTACTCTCGTCGGCTCCTCATGATCCACCTGGACTTCCACCAACTGCTCGATTGGTTGGGACCATGTAATTTCTTCTTCGATTGATGTACAATCCTAGTTTCTTGTTTCCCCAGTTGATCGTACTCGCGTATGGCGTCAGAATATGCTACCTTGAACTCGTATTGGTTGCTCTTCATTTCTCATATGCCATTCGGGGTTGAAAACTTGACATTTTGATGGTAGACGGATGTTATTGCTCTCAGTGCCTGAAGGGTCGGCCTCCTTACTACGGCATGATACTGTGAGCCCCCTTTAATTACTACAAAATTTGTCATTATAGTTGCTTGCCTAGGCTTCTCTCATGTGGTTATAGGCAGCCGAATCGTCCTTTGGGGGATGACTGAGTTCCTTGTGAACCTGTATAATGGCCAGGACGTTTTCTCTAGTTGCTCTTTTGAAATCCCCATTTTTTCCAAGCAATCGGAGTACATGATGTCCACTGAGCTTCCATTGTCTACAAGGATTCTGCATACGGTATGGTTTCCGATCACTGCCTCTACCACCAAGGCATCGTTATGTGAGAAATAGACACAATTAACATCTTTCTTGGTGAATGCCATTTCAGTACCGCTAAATTTTGTCGTCTTAGATGGTTTGGTGGTTGAGAGGTTCCAAAACCTCTCCTGGTACACCTGTATCGCCTCATAGGCGTAACTCTTCTGGGATCTCCTCGAGTCTCCCCCAAGGTATGGTCCGCCATGTATGGTCCTTATGACACCGACTGGCTCACGGTCCTCTTTACGTCTATTATCCTCCCCGGGCCGACCGTCATTTCTGTGACTGTGGCCTCTCTTACGTCTATTATCCTCCCCGGGCCGACCGTCATTTCTGTGACTGTGGCCGAGACTATTGGCTTTAAATTCCTACCACCTTCCCTCGTGGATTAACCTTTTGATCTCATTCTTCAGGTCGGCGCAGTCGTTGGTGTTGTGGTCGACATCGCCGTGAAACCTGCAGTATTTGTTTTGACTCCTTCAGTTGGGTCCGACATCATAAGTTCTGGTCGGCGTAACAGGTTTCCTCGGCCGACCTAATTGAACACTTCTTCAACTCCTACGGTCAACTCGTGGTAGGAATCATACCGTTGGAACGGCCGAGGCTTTCGATTTTTCTCTTGCCTGGGCTTCTTCTTTTCTGGCAGATTTGACGCCGATGCGACCTGTTTGTCTCCACCTCGCCGTTTTCGGTTTTCTTGTTTTCCTGAGGTCAAAGCATGTTCAGTCCCTTTGTTCTTATTGGATCGGTGTTCCGGGTCGTTGGTGTCAGCTTCTTCGGCGTTGATATACCCCTGTGCCCGGGCTAGGAATTCTTTGTAGGTGGACGGTGGCTTTCGGTTCAGATTTCGCTTGAACGGTGTGATCTTTTTCATGTTGGACAAAGTCTCCATCAGGGCCTCCCTGTCGGTTACATCCGTTGTGGCGGCAACGGCTTCTCCGTACCTTGCCAATCATTCTGTCAACGACTCGTTTGGTTTTTGGTACACCGTCGTTAGGTTTTGCTTCAGCGGGATATACTTTTTACCCCGATGAATTGGAGGGAGAAGGCCCCCTTCAATTCCTCCCAACTGGAGATGGAATCTGGCTTGAGTGTCCGGAACCATCTTCGGGCAGAGTCCGTTAAGTGGTTCCGGAACGCTCGGCACATTATTTTCTCAGCATACCTACAGAAGCATGTGTCCCGTATACATCTCCAGGTGGTCGTCGGGGTCCCCTCTGCCATCATATGGTGGGATCGACGGGGACCTGTATTTGTCAGGGAGAGGCGGCGCAATGATTTCTGCGGTAAAGGGGTGGTCATGAGTTCGACTGGGAGTGATGTCGATATTAACCACCTCCGCCACCTGTCCTAGGTTCTTTTGCAGGTGGGTCACCTGGCTTTTGACGTCCTTTAAACTGGCGACGTCACCTATGAACTTTTCTTCTAAGCTCGTCATGCGTTCCATGATGGCTCTTGCCTTCTCCGTTGAAATTGCAGAGCTGATCCCTTTTGAGGCTCTTGCCTTTCTGGCATCCAGCATATTCCTTAAGTCTCCGCCTTCTTGCACCGACCCCGAATCTTCCGAGAGATTCTTACCCGCATTTCGAGATGGCGCTTTAGGGTTCTCCAAACCCACGACTGCTCTTTTCCCCTCGGCTCGTCGCCTGGCAGCCCTTTGTCGGCTGCCAAGGGACTTGGACGGTCGAGGCATCGGGTTATCTCCTCTGACATTTTCACTCTCCCCGATCCCTTCCAGGACACCTTGTTAGTCATCAGGATTCTGGTTCCCAGCCACGGCGACTCCCGGTGGTCTCAGGGCGTCCTCCAGAAGAGGCATGGAGTTTCACCCGTCCATTCGCTCGAAGGCGGTCATCAACCCTCGAACCAGGTCAGTTAGAGCATTCAGCTGGGCCTGCATCTGTACCGGGTCAAGCTGCGGCATATCCGGAGGTGGGGCTTCATCCCTTACCGAGGGTTGATTCCCCTGGTCGGGCCAACCTCCTCCACTTCCACTGTTGGTTGGATGCGTGGTGTTTTCCTCCATTTGGTTACTTTGATTTGCAACGTCACTTCTTCTTGTAGGCATGGTCGTTGATTACTTTTTAGTCGTCTCAGGTCCTAAACCCGCAATCAGAGATTCTGAGTTCGATCCCTAGTGGAGTCGCCATTTGTTGACAGTTGATTTTCGTCAACGAGGTTTTACCGGATTACCCCTTCGTGGTCCGTCGGGATACCGGTGGAAACCGTTAATTTAATTGAATATTCTAAAGTACGTGTTTATGCTTCGGACTTATTTGTAAAGAGTATTTGGTTCTATGTTTTAATGGAAGTAAAAAACGTACAGAAGTTTTATAATGGTTCACCCTTATAAAAGAAGAGCTACATTCACTGTACTTTGCTCATTTTATAGCTTACAGATTACCCATTAACATCCCCCTTGGACGAGCTGTCTTTGGGGCCTTTTGACGGTTCCTCTCGAGTGGCCCATTATCTCAAGTGACCCATTTACTCAAGTGGCCCATTTACTCAAGTGGCCTACCATCCCATTTACTTAGACTGTAGCCTGTCAGTCTCTTTTAGACTGTTCACTCATCAATTTGTCCCCCTATTACAGCTCTGCAGACCCTCTGTAACTCTCATTGGTCTGTTTCAGGCGGTTTAGAGGTTTGTAATCATTCCCTGTGCAACTGCCATTTTTCAAACCTAGACGCAACCTTGGGATCTCCAGCTTGCCACATCAGAGGTCTTTCTTAGAATTCGGGGCCAGTTGCTTGCGTCCTGCCCTCTGCGCTTGCGCTATACTTTGCCAAGTGTGGCATTTCTCTCCGTCGACCCTATCGCGGTACTTCGACGAACAAGTTACGCAAGCCTCAATTGTTTATAGAGTCGACGGTCTAACCCCCTTTATGCACTCGGCTCTTATACAATATTGGGGGGAGGGAGCATAGGGCCATGTAGAGTATAACTGCTGTCTGACGTGTCAGTGTATATTTTCCCACACAACACAAATCTAAGCCTAAAATAGAAGCATGTCATGAACGAATATGTCATAGTGACTTAAACATAAAAATTTCACATATATAAAATTTTCTATGATACTCCAGTTACTGCCAAAATAAACCAACAACACAAATCACGAAAAAAAAGGTAGTCAGTGAAGCATTTCCACGAACATATACCGCGCATAAAATTCGAAACCGAAACGAAACCAAAAAAAAAAAAAAGAGGCAAAATACCTCCGGCGATTCCCCGCAATTTGGGAATCCGACGGTAAAGAGGCATCTGACCACCCTCGAAGCCTTTTCTGACGCCGGGCCCGGAGCGGGACTTCTGACCCCTCATCCCGAATCCACAGCTGTTGCCTTGACCGGCCGATATTCCCCTTCCCTTTCTCTTCCCCTTCTTCCTGGACCCGGGTTGTGGGCCCAGGTTGTTGAGCCTGAACCGGACATTCTCCGGCGCAGCCGCGGCTTGCTGAGCCTGAGCCGCTTTGTTCACGACCACCATTGAATGTCTTCTCTCTTTACCTAAGTTCTTGAGGTCGAGCCTAGGAGAGAGAATAGTACATGGGTTTGGTTTCAAGTTCGTGACATTTCCCTGTAAAACATAGGATTGTAAGAAAAATTGATAGATAATTGTATAGAAGTGAAAGAGAGAGAGAGAGAGAGAGATAGAGATAGAAGTACCTTGAATGAGAAAGAAGGGATCTGAAGAGAGGGCGATGGTGGTGTGAGATATGAGGTTGAAGAAAGAGATAGAAAAGCTCTCGCCATGGATATGGGACTCTCTCTCTGCTCTGTGTACTGGTACTAACTGTAACCGATAGGATAAAGGGGTGATTGTTTTCTTTATTTTTATTTATTATTTTCTTATATATTTTTTAAAATTTTATTTTTTTGCATTACGCAAGTATTTTAAAGGTCGGTTTAGTTTGCTGATTTGAGTTTTTAATTTGAGTTGAGATGCGATTTTATATGAGAGTTTTTTATTATAATAAAAAAATTAAATGTGACTGTTTCTGAAAATTTTTTACTATAACAAAACTCGAATCGATAAAATAAACTGAGCCTAAGTTTATTTGAAAATTATACCACTTCTTTTAGATTTTCTTTAGTTTGTTTACTGTAATTATAAATAGAGAAAGGAGACAAATATTCAGTACATAGCCTGGATTTGTAGCTTTTATTCCGTCAAGTGATTATATGTACTCTTCATTTCACCGATTTAAGTTTTATCACAGTAAAAAATTTTTAAATACAGTAACATTTAACTTTTTTACTACAATAAAAAGACATCACATAAAGTCACATCTCAATTCGAATTAATGAACTAAACGGATCCTATATTAATTAAAAGAACATCAATAAAAAATAAAAAATAAAAATTTAAACTCATACTAAGCGCAACTTCAGTAATTTTATCAAAGGAGGTTCATATCAAAGTTTTACTTATATATATATATATATATATAAAGTTTACTCCACTTTGACCGTTAAAAAGACCAAACTTTGATCCTTGCTCCTTGAGTTGAACAAGGTTGCTTCCAAAAGTTGGGCTGATCTAGTGGATGCTAGCGTTTTTACTCCGTTTACTAAGAAAAAACGGGGGAAAAAAGAGCACAAAGAGTGACAATTATGGTCAGAGGAAAATGGCTAATGACGAGTGGTGTCCTCGAGGTACAAATGGAATGTATAGACAACTTTGGACAACTCTAATGGATAATGACATTTCTGAAAATCAAGTCTTAAAACGCACTAAAGATCAATAATCTCATGCTTATCAGGAAGAGAGAAATTATTGCTTCGGGTTTTTGAAAAAAATTGACAGATGTACTGCTATTTTCCTTAAGAAATTTAACAAGAATCTGTAGAAGAAAGGTATAAGCTCAGAGTTGGTAGTGAGAAGAGTTTTGAAAGGAAAAAATCAGAATTTTCTTTTAGGTTACTTAATTTTGTTTTATTTGGTTTCTATTTGAGTTTTTTTAGGTTTTTTGTAAGAATTTTTTTCCTTTCTTAGAGATTTTATCCTATAAAATTAGTTTTTAACTGTTAAATTTAATTAAAATTATATTAAATTAAAAAAACATAAATAATCAATAATTTTTAATATAAATTTGACTGTTAAAAAATAAAGTCTACTAATCATTTATTTTTTTTAGTTCTACCATAACAACACCCCTTTTTTTAAATAAATTTTCTGCTTATTAAAAAAAAAAAAGAGATTTTATCAGTTTCATCTTTCCGCTTGTCCAAGATTTTCGGGCTAGGTTCAAGTGTATTTAGAAAGAAAAGGCCCAAAAAGAGTAAAAACTGAAGGACTATTTACATAAACGAGGATTATCAGTTTCTCGTTTTAAAAAATACTACTTTATTGTTTATTTACAAAACTATGTTCTATTATACATATAAAGACATTTATATCCTTATATAAAAAAAAGAAAAATAATGAAACTACAAAATAAGAAAGAAAATGAAACACAATTTAAATATAAAACATTCTAAGTTTAAAATAAAAAGTTAAATTATTGCATTAATAAAATCTAATCTAATTATTTTTAAAAGGAAAAGTTTTTTATGAAAAAGAAGGAAAATCCACCAAATATTTTTAAAAATCTTAGCCTTAAAAGTTTGTAATCTCGATAATTCCTCCAATTGAGTCCCTCCACCCAAAAATCAGACAATATTTTATTATTTAATGGTCAAATCATTATAAAACATAATATATAATACAAAGGAACACAGAAAATGTACACATTAAACAAATTTTCATAAGTTTAATGATGATATCATTTTAAAACACACTGAAAATAAAAAAAAAGTGCAACAAGTTTTAAATAATTAACATACGCGTATTCATGAACACATAATAAATCGTTTCATTATTGTAATGGTTTCAGAATTATGAAAAGAATGAATGTAAAGTTTGAGATGACTCGGGCAAAATCAGACACTGAAAAAAATTGTTTTTGAGTGGACGAAAAAACACAAAAATGTATAAAATTAATACATATTCTCACTAAAATTATGATAAGATCATAATGAAACATAATTTCTATAAAGAAGAAACACTAAAATGAACTCATATAAAAACATTTATTTATACGAGAAATTATGGTAAAGATGTAAAATAGGCTATAGACATGCAAAAAAATTTAAAAGAAAAACCTATCGCATTTTCATTATCTTAATACCAATATCATTATTAAAAACAATGAATACAAAATTTGTAAGTAATGAAACAATTAAAATTCACAAAAACATGATTTTGCAATTTATGTATTTTCATTGTGTGAAAGAAGATGAAACTTATGGCGGTAAATATATAAAACAAGCTATAGACAAAGCAAACAAAATAACAAATAAAAAAGTCTGATTACATTTTCATTATCTTAATGACAATATCATTATGAAAAGAAAATGAGTACAAAGTTTGCAAGCAATTCAAAATAATCAAAATGCACAAAAATATGAGTCTGCAATCTATCTATCTTCATTATGTTAAGGAATGAGAAAATTATGGTAAAGATATAAAACAAGTCATAAATAAGCAAACGAAAACAAATGAAAAACCTCGCGCATTTTCATTATGTTACTGACGATGTCCTCATAGAATATAATTAATATAAAGTTTGCAAACAATCTACAACAATCAAAACGCACGAAAGTATGAGTCTGCAATTTTTATCTATTTTCATTATGTTAATGAATAAGAAAATTATGGAAAAGATAAAAAAAAATGTTACACACTAGCAAACAAAATAACAAATAAGAAAATAGCACTCAGCATTTTCGTTATCTTAATGACAATATCATTATGAAAAGGAATACGAAAGTATAATATATAAAAAAAAACACAAAAACCACAGGCATAAATGATTAAAAATGACAAACCCAAAAATCAAAAAAAGAAGGAGAAGAAGAAGAATTTGTACAACCCTTTAGTTTTGCAAATCCCTTTTTGCATATGACCACCGTCGCTATCTCTCCCTCGCGGCCATGCCCATGGCGATCCCTTGGCCTCCGTCGTCGTGATCTGTGTGAAGGAGAGATCCAATGATGTTGCAATTTCTAAAATTGCCTATGATCTGATAATTGAAGAACCATGAGATTACTGGCAACATGTACGCACTTGCATTGACATACCACGCTTGCATGTTTTTGAACTAATCCAGAAAGAATTTGATGAGGCAGTTTTGCATCTGAAGCAAGGAAACGTGCCAAAGAAAGCCCATATCCATTGAACCTGTGGGTGTGAAGAGATGCAACATTAAAAACTACCATAATAAAAATAAATCAAATAATTAATTACAGACAATCAATTAGGGCTAAAAGAGAAAATAGATATGTGAAATATTACGAGAAGAAACAAACAAATTACATAAAATAAAAATTACCATATAAGAAACATATTCTAAAATAATTCATAAAGGCATATCCGGTAAATTTATATGCCTTAATTAGTATTTTTGTAATATTGTACGATAACAAATATTTTTAAAATTAGAGCTTTAATAATAAGTATTTTATGTAGGTCCCGTTCATCTTACTGATTTGAATTTAAAATTTGAGTTTTGCTACAGTAAAAAGCTCTAAAAACAGTCATATCTAAGTTTTTTATTACAGTAAAATACTATCACATAAAATCACATCTCAACTCGAATTAAAAACTCAAATCATCACTTCAAAACTGAATTAAATCACTTTCCTGTGATTAATCGAGCCGGATCCAATAGTAAACTTGAGCCCAATCAGGTTCTTTCAAATATAATAAACCAAATATTAAACATTAGCACGTCAACCATATATATATTTAGAAGCCAAATCTTGATAAAGAAATTGATATTCCTAGCATTACTCTTTCCTAGTCTTACAAATTCTGATATGTCACTTAATAAAGTACACAACGTTGCAGTACAGCAACATTAATATGATCTTCATCATTCAATTAAGAAGCTACCAAGCGCTAAAATGGATTCACTAGACGAGGAAACAAGAAGTGGACTTCAGAGATCATATAATATAATAGATGGTTCTTAAAGCAGTAAAGCTTGGTAACGATTACCTTGAACCATCTGAATTCTGAAGTGTGATTTTATAGTAGGATAAATGATGAACATCAAACGTAATTAAGTAATCCTCGGACATTCTTTCTTGAGATAAATGATAATTTCAAAACAATACGAATCATTCCTAATATCAGTTATTATATGTCGTCATTTACTAATTAAAAGAATAGATAAATGCAAAACCACACAAGTGATACAACCACAGAATCTTGTAATTAAGTATTTGTAAATTAAATATTGTGGTTGTGACACAAACACAGTATTACGAACCTTAATTAAGTACTCAGCAAGAAAAAGAAAAGAAAGTGAATAAGGACTTGTAATTCGCATTGTTGAGGTCAGATTTCACCCCATCTCTCATCATATACGTGACAATTTAGACTTTGGTTAGTCGCTAAACGAGTTACCGCGACTTCTCAGGCAGGCTAAAATGACTCATCGATTAGACAACTAAAATGCTCGATCCCACGAGTTGATACTCAACTTTAGGTGCCAAGCAATGAGAGAATATCCCCCATGCATTCCTAAAAGAGAAATTAACAACTGAATCAGCCAATCATGCTAGAGGAATCAAAGAGGAAAAAAGTCAACGGTTGACTTAGGCCGCAAGCAACACGTCATTGGATGTATTTGATCGCCTTTCACATAAGAAAACTAAATCCTTAGCAACCGCATAATACGGAAGGAGAATAAACTTGTAATGGGCAACCAACCGCATTTGACCAGTCAATGGGAAGGTGATCCTTAAATGGAGATCAAATATCGTCCAAAAAGGAAACAAGGATCACATATTGAAAGTCAAATGGCCCGAAGAAACGAGAAACAATTGAGGAGCCTCATTAGCTATAAATACAAGGTATTCAGACATCCTCAGGAGTAGATATTCATGCTCATCACCACCTCAAGCACTCACACTTACTTCCAGCATATTTTCCCATTATTTGTTGTATTTTTCATTATTCCCCTCTCTTTCTCATCTCATTCTTCTCTCATTAACTCATTGTAATGCTATTTAGCATACATAGTAAAATCATCGGAGTCCAACAGATTATTGTCTCTTTTATTGCTTTACTCTATTTTCTCGTTTACTAACGCTCTCATTCTCGCAGCGGGTCGATCTCTTTAATCGACGACTCTTAACTCAGTCATTAACTCTTGATTTAATCAATTGTAGATTTCACTTTTTACACGTACTAAATTTCGAACACTAGCTAGTTACTAGTATTCGTTCCTCTAGCTCAACATGACTAAGGCGAGAAGAAGAACCAGAGATGGTTTCTCCTGATAGAAAAGCATTATAAGACATGATTTTTGTTGGACAATTTTGGAGGCAGAATCTGCAGTCGCCCACTTAGATATATACACCGTGTATATATATATATATATATGCAGATATCAAAAGTGAATAAATCAAAGCACATATGATATAGCTAGTACATGTTTTCAATCTTGGAAAGCATAGTCAGTGTTCCCCATGCACGCGCACTACTTTTTTCATGTATGTACATCTATCATGTACATACGTATATATGTGCAAGATCAAGTTATAACACTAGTATTATGAGCATATGTACTATATATCATGCTTAATATATAACAGTGCTGTTGTTGATCATCTATACTTAATTAATATTTTAGTCAAGTGTACGGTTCTTATCAATAGACTGATAGAGCAACTAAGCCGTGAAGATATATATGTCTGCGTATACTTTAATTAATATTTCCTTTAAAACAACTAATATTCTATTAAAAGAACAATTAACAGATTTTAAGTGTTGCTAATTAAATGATTGATACGGAAATCTTAATTTCATTCTATACAAACCAAGCACTCAAATAATAAAGATGTTTTTACAGCCTTTTACAAAGTAAAAGCTAATTTTCTGTTGTGAAAGAAAACAGAATTCAAGCCATCAAAATCAAGCATTTTTAGATGAGTTTCAGGTCGATCTAATATAAACAAAAACTAGAGTGCTTTCTGAATTATCCATACGCAAGGGTAGAGGGTCTGAGTGGAAATTACTATATGTTGTGGATGTAAAGTAATTCCACTATATATCATGTTGTTATAAAAAGGAAATCCTGATAGCTAGATTCTGAACAGGAAGAGGATGTTCTATTGATTTATTGCTGGGAATTTTTTGTTGGTGTGAAGTGGACCACCTTATAAAGTGATCATATGAACACAACTTTCAGAAACTTGGAAAAAGTGTTCTTATATATGTGCTTGTTGGCCTGCCTTTACAGTACTTATATTTTACTAATCCTAATAACTAATATTATCAAGTCGAGATCTATTCAAGGTAGTGTGGTCCATGAGCACCTGAATTTATATATACAGTATATATATATATATATATATATTTCATTTGTAAATAATTAGTCTAGATTTCTCTGTAATAATTGGGTGTGCGCTAGCTCTAGCAGTTTGAGAATAAGGTTTTCTATAATTAATGTGGTTTATTTAATTAATGTGGTTTTCTATAATTAGCTGCTAGCTACTATGCATGTGCTATATATTGTTCATTCCTATTTCAAAAATTATTTATTTTATTTAACATGTACAGTAGGACTATTGTTTGTAGGCCTGTATTAATAATTACTAAGATGCATGGTTAAACTAACGGGTATAAGAAAGAAGCAGTCAATTGTATAACGGATTTTAACTTACTGCTAATTAAGATGAGAAGGTGAAATAACTCGGTGATATCTATCAGTTTGATCAGTATATATATAATCATTTACAATCATCCACCTGAAAAATTTTAGCCATTTCTAGAAAACCATTTTTGGTTACTTCTAGTCAAGAGGCTATATTTTCAGTCTGAAATCAGTTCCATCTTTAAAAGGTGAAGTAACGTATAATTGAAATGAAGAATTAATATATGTATTTAATAAATGCACATATATATATATACATATGTTATACGTGTAATGTATATGTGTGTGTGTGTATGATATCAATGGTACTCTCCGGGGCATCACTTTTTTTTTGTTTCCTTTCTCTTCTCCGCACAACGCAATGAAAATGACAAGGAGGTAGCGACCAACTACACATACTTCTGAAGGATAAAACAAGTCACTCGCGTCGTTGAGCCAATATGCCAAATTGGATCATAGAAATTCTAATAATTAGGCAGTGATAGTAACACTTCCATGATCACGGCAATCCTATATGTACTATATATACAGAGAGTTACTCATAGACTTGTTGTAGCATGCCCTTCTGATCAACATAATAATAATAATAATCACACAGCAGTGCTTCTGCGACATTATATTCAAAAGGGCTTCTTAGCTTTGGTCTTTAAACAATATATATATATATATATAATAATAATAATAATATTTGCTTTTTAGTCCCTACTATAGAAGATGTGCACAAGACAAGAACATTAATATTTTGACGTAATTGTCAAGTAGTCTCTTGTATGGTAAAAGTTTCGCAGCAATGTTATAACCATATTTGGAAGAACTAGTCGATCGTGACATGATGTATGATCATATAGCACTACTAGTTCTCGGACAATAGACCTAGCTAGTCCACGTCCTTTAGTAACAAGGGCAAAATTGAGAAAAAAATAATAATAATACCAAAGACAACGTCTCTCTCTCTCTCTCTCTCTCTCTCTCTCTCCATCTCTCTTTCTCTGCCTCTCAAACCAAACCGATTGAGACTTCCCTAGCTCTCCTCTTCTTTTTAAAGTCACGAGACCCACTGGCCCTTTTTTTCATTCAATTAATTTCTAGAGAGAGAGAGAGAGAGATGAGTCCATATCCAGAGGGTTGGCAGAAGAACTGATAGAGAACTTTCAAAGCTCTTTTTCTTCCACCATCACTCAACTAGCCTCTATATTGCAGTCTCAAACTGAAAGTTCTTCATAATTTTCTTTTCAAAGAGGGGCTGCTTTAGTTATATATGATCCTTACCCATCTGAAAGAAAGTCGATTGATTTAAACAACCTGATATATACATAGTTCTCTCATTTCTTTTTCCCTGTCGGTGCCATGTAGGTCTTCCCCCACCACAAAAATTTAACCTTAATTTCACTATTTCTACTACTTTGTTCTCTCTCTCTATCTATATATCTTCCTCTCATTTATACTCTTTTTTATTTTCCTCTTTTCAGTTTTTATTTAATATATATTCTGTTTTTGTCTAAGAAGTTGTTTTCTTTTGGCTTTTCATTGTTTTGATATGTTTTGCAGGCGACCTGAGGGAAACCCTTTAGACCTCAACAATTTGCCTGATGATTTCAGTAGAGATGGTAAACAACAGCTCCTCGAGGATGCCTCCACTGGTACACACACACACACACAAAATTACTTCTTTAAATATAATAATGTTGTCACTACTGGCAAAATGAATGGCACTAATATTTATAGTACTTAAAAATCCAAAGTGTGGTTTCCCCAAGTTTTGAAACAATAAATAGTTCAGTAATGAAAAGAGTACTAGTGTATTTTGCACTTCTCCTTCCTTAATTTGTCATCTCTCCCTCTCTCTCTCTCTCTCTCTCTCTCTCTCTCTATGGCTATATGATCCCTTAAAATTTTCAACCAAAATGTGCTGTTTGAGATTTAACTATTTTTTGTTACTTATAATTAAAAACAATTAAGTTCCTAATTTCAAAAAAAGAAAAGAAAAATAACAATTAAGTTAATTAGGGTTTAGAGGGTAGTGTCCACTGTCCAGAGTATATATCGAAGTTGGTAGTAATTGATTGAAATTGGGGCAGGTTATAGAAAGAAGAAAAGCGGCGGGAAGGAAGGAAAGGACGATTGTGGGAAGGTCTACGAGTGTAGGTTTTGTTCCCTCAAGTTCTGCAAATCTCAGGCTCTTGGCGGACACATGAACCGCCACCGCCAAGGCATGTCTTTTCAGTATTTCTTTAGTTTCCATCAATATTTTAATTAGATTTAATATTAATATTCAAACACCTCGCTTAATACAAATATATTAAACTATTTCTACACATATTGCTAAAGGGAAAAGAGAAATCACTTCAACTACTGTTCATTATTAATGATTTAACAATGCACCAAGCGTAGTCATTTCATGTACATATGTGTGTGTATAAACCATGTTGAAATTGTTTAGTCAATTGCTCAAATTCTTGGTCACATTATCATGCGATTTTGATTATTTTTGTGTTTGTGTATGTGTGCGTGTTGGTTTGGTCAGAGAGGGAGACAGAGACACTGAACCGAGCTCGTCAGCTGGTCTTCAGTAACGATAACCTAGCCGCCCAAAGCCACCTCAGGTACATATATATATATATATATAAATATATATATATATGGTCACATCCATCTTTCTTTTCGCACCGCAAATTTAACATAGTAAGATGCAATATAGTTAAAGATCCTCTTATGATATATTATATATATTATTTTCAATTAGTTGTTGTCATCCAATCACACCGCCGGGAAGCTACCATCATCATCCACCACCAGGCAACATTGGACCAGACACAACGTTACCACTAAGATTCCCAACAAGAATGTTCTCCAATTCTTCGTCAAGCTTCATATCGCCGCCGCCGCCGCCGCCGCTGCCATCGCAGGCGGTGCAACCCTCGCAGCCTTATTTATACACCTCTCCTACGCGTCCCTTGTCTTTCTCGTCACACTATCCTGCTCATCAGCATGCGGCGGTGAATGATAATTACTATGTTGGCCATGTTCTAAGCAGCAACACAAGCTCAACATCGCAGTACTGTCATCCTAACATAAGCTACGCGGCCGCGGCAGAGTCCAACTACACTTGCATTGGGGCACCGGTCGGGCACGCACATGGGTTTGTGCCGGGGAGCGGCCGAGCGGCGGCGGAGTTGGCGGAGTCGGGTAGTGTTGGGGGCGGTAGTGGTGGTAGAGACGGTTCACTTCACTGAATTGGGGTTTTTGTGGAGCTAGATATAGCTATACACTTGAGGGATAATCAGAGATAGTACAACTTAAAAGAAAAATGCTAAATATAGATCTCACGGACAGTCTGTGGTCTATTTTAATGTCATGATTGAAATGAGTTCATTTTTGTTATATGTTCCAAAATTCATGACTAGTGTTAATTAGTTAATTTTTTTTGGTGACACTTGAATTGACGACAGATCAATAGAATATCTAGCTAATATTGTATCTATTAATATTTTGCTGTAAGTAGTACATGATCATATCAATGTTCTACTTCGATCAATCGATTTCAAGACCATAGTTTTTTTTTTTTTTTTTTTTTTTTTTTTTTGAGGAAGTATATGATAATTTTATCTTTGCATCGACACGCCACCCCACCGATATTCGATGATGACAGAGAGACCATAGCGAGAAAGGAGAGAGACTTAACAAGCTGACAAATGGGGTAGTGAAACGGAAGGGAAGAAAGAGATTTAAGAGGTATATATATATATATATATATATATATATATAAATTAACAGGGATTGTGGACAGCTTTTGAGCTCATGGACACGCTCAGCTAGTTTGGCTTGGAGCTGTGGGGAGATTGGAGATGGTGTGTCTTTCGTATTGGTTTGTAGTAGTAATAGTACTACCAAACTGTGAAAACGAAAGCTACAAAGAGCTTTGGTGGGCCAAGGAGTTAGATATGAACTGAAAGTTCCCAACCCCCTTTTTGCTTTCAAGTTCATTTTGCATGGCATTGTATATGTATTTTCATTATATATATGTATAAATATATATTTCTTGTTTTTTTTTTTCACTTTCAAAAAAGAAACTCTTTCTTTAATACATTTAGTTTTCCTTTTTCTTTCCTTTTGTGTTTAACCATGAGCCTTCAACATATCTTTGACCGCAAAGGGGTGAGACTCATGATAATTGGCCCTTCTCCTCTCTCTCTCTCCGGCCTCCATCTCCCTCTCACTCTCTCTCTCTCTCTCAACGCCAACGATTTATGGTTTTTTGGATCATTTATGGTCGCAGTGTTACCAACATGGTTGCACAGTGGGGACAATGACACAAGCTAGGAGCACTGTAAATTCTACCAAACAAACTAGCCTTTTCGCTGGTTTTCCAATTGTATCAATAAAAGTTGGTTAATTATTGCATGTAGTTTAAAGCAATGTTGCTAATTAATGCCTAGTCATTCGAATTGATTTTGTCTTATTCAGTACGTTTAAGTCTCAGGAATCTGTAAGTATATTTTTCTGGTCTGATTGTCACTGTTCATTTTCAAAAGAATACCAATTGGAAACTAGCCAATTACTTGATGAGAATTAGTGGAAACTCCCTTTCCTTTTCTTTTTCTGTCTTTTTGACAAGCAAAAAAGAAAATTTATGAGTGCAATCTTTCTTTGAGTTGAAAATTTTGACCTAAAAATGTCCGGTTTTCTTCACACCTTTACTAATTTCCATTCGTAAACAGAAGTGCATCGTTTCTTCTACATTCGCTCAATGGGCATTCGAGGGACTAATCCAACACCACTATGTCCATATAACATCAACTTTTTAATGATTTTTTTTACTTTATCTTCAAGCATTTTAATTCAAAGAGTGAAAAGTGAAAGTGAAAACTCATAAAATTGAACAAAAAATTTAAATTTTTTTTTAAAGAATACACCGTAACAAAAAAAAAATTTAATTATAAATTAAACACGCGAAACAAATAAGCACTTACTTTTTTTTTCCCCTCAAGATTAGACGGTCTCTCTTAGTTTGACACCTTTTGCTTGGTCTCGAAAGAAAATCCTAGGACGTCTGGTACTAAGCTGACTTCCTGTTGCTCATTATGTAATAAGCACGGGGAAAGGTTTAGATAATCATAATCTCTTTCTACGGTGCCTCTTTTTTTTTTTTTTTTTTTTTTTTTTTTAAGTAGACTTTGTGGCGATACCAGGATTTTTCTTCTTTCCTTTAGGAGCGTTATATTATATTTGATTTGTATGCCTTCGGGCCTGTTTCTTTTTCTTCTTTCCTTTTGTATCTCTTTTATTATTTGAACTTAGAATTTAGAGAGTCCCAATTTAATTGAGATATCTTCGTAAATTCTTAATAGTAATCATCACAAATATATATATATATATATGTATATCGATTTATACATGCATTCTAAATAATAGAAAGAGCACACAATCTCAGAGTTGTTTCTCTCTCTCCCCTCTCACATACACATGTAACACACACTGAGTTTCTTTTTTCGATGGTTAGGCAACATTATATTGGAATTAACCAAAATAAAGTAAATTTCAAATATAAAAATAAAAAAATGAGTGCTGATAATTAAGGTATTGTACTAATATTGATTTGTATATCTTTTAATTTAGTTGAACTTGACATGACTATATTCTATTTGAGTAAATGTTGCATAGTAAGGGAAAATTTTCACTTTAAAGAAAATAGATGTACAAAGGATTGTAATTGTAGCATTGAACAAAAAGAAAATGTTGCATGATCCGCTAAGACTATATATAGGCGTGGTTTTAATGGTTGCTTAAATATTTATCATATTAATCCGATAGTTATAATAAATTGAATAGTTGACTAAAATAAATTAAAGTGGATTTTTTTAATTACGATACGTCATTAAATTTATATATTTAGAGGTGACCACCTTTGAAAACGTAACAATTAAAAATTCATCTATATATATTTTGCTAAAGACGTAAATTAGTTTTCTTATGGCAAGCGTACGCTGCAAAGCAATATTGGGCCAGTTTGGTAGTGCTATAGATTTTGAAAAAAATTACTTTTAGCTGTGCTGAAGGAAAAAGTAGCTGTTACAAAAAACAGATGAGTATTTGATAAACTGTAATTATACAAGTTTTGCTGATTCTAAAAGCAGTGTAATAGCGTTTGGTAAATTGTGAGGTTTAATTACTGTGGGTAGTTAAGATGACCGTAATTAATAATCTTAAATTAATATATAAAGTAATTAATAATTGATAATTATTTAGCAAATAAAAATTAATATATTAATAATATAATAATAATGGATAAGTTATCATTAATGAGTAAATTAGTAATTAAACTATATATATAATGAATTAATATGCTAAATAATTAAAAATAGCAATTAGTAATTAATTATAAGTAATTACTATGTTAGTAATGTACTCATATTTATTAGATTATAAGTAATTAATTAGTGCATTAAGAAAAATAATTAGTATATACATAATTTATTAATATTCCTTTTACTATTTAAATTATTAACTTTTACTTACATAATTAAATAATTAGCTAATTAATCACTAATGTTTATTTAATAATCTATTATTTGATATATCACATGATCAATTTTTGGTAATTATTCTTTTTATAATGATTAATTACTAATGATCAATTATTAATTATTATTGATTAATATATTACTTATTGATAAGTATAATCAATTAATCTTTAACTAAATAAATAATTACTATATTATTTATTATTTTATTAACAAAATTAAAAACTTAATAGTAATAAATTAATATCTAATTAATAATTAAGTAATTACTATCTATTTATTAGTTATTAAGTATATCTATTTATTAATTATTAATTTATATATAATATAATTTGTAATTAATAATTAATTATTTAATATAACTTTGTTGATAATCATTAATTGTACTATGTTTATTTCCGCATAATCTAAAAGCCAAAATTGCATTTGGACTGCTTCTGATTTTGGCTGTAGATTTTTCAAAAATTCTTTAAAAATCACTTTTTATGATTTTTACCAAACACTATTATCAGCTTTTGATGACTAGAGAAGTGATTTCGGATTCTAAAAAACACTACCAAACGCACCCATTATTTACTGTTGAACATTTATGTACCTTCTTTTAGATTTCACACCTTAAATATTCTACCTAATTTTCACAAACACTATAAAGAAACAGGAAACATTGGCATTTGGTTTTTGAAAGGTTTAAAATTGATATTGCTAAAAAAAATAAACTCGATCGAGATCGTCTAACTAAAAGATTTCATTACAATAAAAAATTTCAAGACTGAAATTAATTTATAATTTAAAAATCTTTTGTTGGAGATGACAGGAGATTATATAAAGTTATATAAAATACTAAATACGTCTTTCAAAAAAAAATAAAAAATAAAAAATAAAACTCAATACAAAGTGTTGCAAACTATGGAGACCTAACTTCAACGCGGAATTTGCTCCGAAAAAAAAAAAAAAAAAAAAAAAAAACACTTCAACGCGGAATTCTAAAACATGAAGCTCAAAAATTTATTTATTTATTTTTATACAGATACTCCCTCAACTTTACGAGTTTCACACATTGATTTATTAATTTTTAATCTTAACAATTCACTCTTAAACTTTGAAATTCATTACAATGTAGGTCAAATTAAAAGCGGAGTACTTAAAATTTTGGATGGTTTCTTGAGTATTTAATAAACATAATTCTGATCTTTTTATATCAAATTGATCCCTATATATACATTATGAGTACAAAATTTTTGAAATTGGGGGACCCCATTTTTTCCCTCAAAATGGTTAACCCCCAATTTCAAAGAATTTATCGCTCATGATGTGCATATGGGACTAATTTGATGCAAAAAGATCAGAATTACTCTAGTCAAATACTCACGTGAAAGAAACCATCCAAAATTTTAACTTCATTTTTAATTTGATCAATATTGTAACGAATTTCAAAACTTAAGGGGTAAATTGCTACGATTAAAAATTGAGAGATCAATTTGCCAAACTCGTAAAGTTGAAGGTGTATCTGTACCAAAAAATTATTCTACTAGAAAACCATTGTTAAGACCTGACATACAATAATCGGTGTTCTATATGCGTGAAACAACTTAAACTTTGTTATGAAAGAAAATATATAGAAACGTCAAGAGACATAGCAGTATAGTTATTTAACGTGGCTAAAAATCTCCAAGGAAAAAGACACGCGTGCTAATCACACCAAATAAAACTTAGGATTTCATTCACACTGGATTACATTTACAAGAGAT